TTTGGAAAAATTGGGGAAGCATGCTCGCCGAGCCCGACGGTCGGCTTCCTCTTGTACTTCCTTTTCGTTCTCCAGACGTACATTTGGAGCGTCCCGTCTGGCGCCTAATGCATCGGAGGACACAAGCAGTGTGAGTACCGCGCGAGTGGCGGTCGTCTCGTCCCCTCTGGGTACTCTCACTCGCACCAACACACAGTCCCCCCCGCTTTACGACGCCGTCCCACTCCCCCGCGCCCCTCTCTCGCGGCGCGTCCGAGGCGGCCACCGCAGTCATCATCAGCGATAAAGCGCCATCACGGGACGCGCCTCGAACGCCCTTCACGACGGATAACGCATCTATCGTCCTTCTTCTCCAAAGTCTGGGGCGGGGGACTTGACCCGCGTGGCGCGGCTGGCTGGAGGAGAAAGCTCGGCGTCGGTCCGTGTCCAGGTGGTGTCACTTCCGCACACACCGGCCGGGCGGCCCACCGCGGGGCACAAGGCGACCCCCCCCCCCCTTCTGGTCTACCTCTCGCGCGCCCGCTACACGGCCGCGGACACAATCGGTCTCGCGGCCGGCCGCGTGCGCCATGCAAGCAGCGGCCGGCGCGGAGACTCGGATACAATACAGCCTCTCTCTCCTTCTCCCCCTCGGGGGACGTACTTACTTGGTCAGACGCTAAATTCAAGTCGCCTTTCCACTGTAACAAAAAAATATGCTGTTTTATTAGTTTTCTTGCAAAATTAAAATTTACAAGAAACAATAGCCACACCACTTCGACTCCCGAAAATATTATTCAATGGAGAAAAGCATGACTCTTGTAAAACGTTTCAAAATCTCATTGTGTCGTATTCTTTTATGGGTTATCGCGTTGAACGAAAGGGTAGATAATTTAATTGGTAATTGTTTGGGTTTACTTGGTTTGCAAACTTCGACTATCCATTGCTGCGCCGCGGAGCAAACAGAGCGAAACAAAGGCCGAAAACGTCCCCGAGTACGCCACCCACCATATCGTCGTCGACCGCTTGATGATCCCCGACAGACAGGCGTAGGAGGGATGCCTAAGGCGCAGTGGGGAGAAAGTATGAGGGATCCGTGAAGGGCCCCTCGGGCCAGACAGGCAGGGGCAGGAGGCCCGTGACCCTCCCGCCGGGAGACGCGCATGTACTCCACGGAGGTGGCGCGGCGTACAAGAGGAACGCAACACCAAAGAGCTCACGCCGCTGCAGCCCGCGCCTACTGGGCTTGGCTTGGGTGGTCATTTCGTTGTGCAAGACCTCCCTCTTCTCTGTCACTCTCTCTGTGTCGAGTAAGCACCAGCACACGCCGCCATAGTATGCATAGCCCATGACGCCTGACGACTGCAGGGTAGGCCACCGGCCCAAACAGCGTGGCCGTTTCTGGACTACCCACCAGGCGCTACGGCTAGCCCGGGCATGAAAACACAAATCATTCAAAATCATTGCGACTTTGTTTCAGAAACGAAAAGAAAAAAACACTTACTACCAACTTATTGAACATTATAGCACGTTTCTAAATATAATGTAAAGTAAAAAAAAAAAATGCATCTCTAGCTTAACTGAAAAAATAAAAATTAAGCCAAGACATTTTTAGAAAAATCGAAGAAAAAACTTTTTCTCCCTTCTCTCGCCCGTCGTTTCAAGGCGTGCAAAATGAACCAATCCCGCTCGTCCGCATGGCCTGTTGATCAAGCTGGGGGGGCGATTCAGCCAGCCGGACCATCCCGGCGGCGCCATCGGGTATCAACGGCTTTGATAACTCCATTGGAGGGGCAGCGGGTGGGAGAAAGTGAATTCCTTCACATCACGGGGAGATGGGTCCGGCCAGCATCCAGGAGAGCGAGGGGTCCATCCGAGGCGCGAGACTCGAATCTCTGATCTCCCACTTACTGTCCAAAGCAATGATGGCGCGCGCCTCGGGAGGACCCCGCCGCCTCATCGGGTCAAAGTTAGGGATGCGGTGAGGGGGAGAGTACGGGAAAGGAGAGAGAGTTTTATGCGGAGGTACAGCCCTCTGGCATGGCGACCTCTCTCGCCCCTCAAACCCTCTCTTACCACGCCTCGACTTCTTTTACAAGAGTCTGCAACAATGGCCGTCGTCCATTGTTTGAATAAGAGTGTCCGGGTTGTCATCAAACATACCCTCTCTCTCTCTCTCACCCTCTCTCTCACACACATACACATGCTCACTCACTCACACTTGGCTTTCACGCCTCCGATCGGTCCAGGCCGGGGCTGCGATTCGGGCCAGGCCATGATTAGAGACGCCTGCTCGCTCACGCCAGCCGTTGTGGTGTGTTTTGTCGCAGCCTTCGTCGTCGGTCCGAATGCAAAGCGAAAAAAAAGTAAGCCGGAATTCGCGCTCAGAATTATAGACGCACACACATTGAGGCGGAGAGAAAATGATTGTCATAACGAAGGACCCGGAGAAAATCCACGGCGTCAATTCGTGCACACATACCTCACACCTCAGATTCAGGCGAGTAGATCGCGAGGACAGAGAGCGCGGAGTGTGGAGAGAAAAAAAACACAATGAAAATACAGACAAGAATCATTCGCTCATTTTATAACTTATGGATCGCGGAGGCCAACCTATTTATCCCGCGCATGGATCCGAATCCTGACGGGGACCTCTAGAAATATTGCCAGCCGCAGGGAGGCAGAGGAGAGTGGGCACATGAGACGAAAAAAACACTCAGAACAACAAGATACAGCCAGAGTACTCAATAAATCCATACTCTCGCGAGAGAATTATTATTTGCTGGACTACCCTGGCGTGATCATGTATCTGTGTGCGTGTGAGAGGGCGAGAGAGAGAGAGGGGAAGACAGAGAGGTAGACGGAGACCAGGAGATGTAGAGGAGTAGGGAAGCCGGGCACACTAACGCAATCCTCCTGGAATCCATTAGAGGCACTCACACTCACTGACTCCTTTGGTGCGAGACCTTGCGTCGGGGCTGCGTGGGGCTGCGCGGGGGGCCGCCACAGACTGGTGTGCCGATCGATGAGTTAGTTGTGGCCGCCGCGGACTGCACCGGCCTCCCGACCTGTTGTGCGCGCGCTATCATCACAAACCAGGCGAACAAATCAATGGTCACACCAGGGCCAGGCCTATTCCTCCATCAATAATCCTTAATCGCCCGTCGTTTGTTTTACTTTTGGCACTTCGGTGTTGTTTTCCGCTGCGCAAGAGGCGTTCAGAAATTTACCCAGTGCCCTTAATTTTCCATACCGCCGCCGCCCCAGAGGCCGCGCCCCTGACTGGCTACCCGACAAACCCTCACGCCTTATTTCCACAAATCTCGGCATCAAATATTGAAGCTTCAATTTAGTCCGGCCGTGTTAGGAAGGGGGGCAGGGGGGCAGGCTGGCTTTGCTTATCTCCTTGTAGCAGATTAGAACACCACACGCGCGCGCGGGGGGAGAAAGGGTAGGGGGTAATGGGGATTCAGGGTAAAGTAGCGAGACCTGATAAAAATGGGGGAAATTAGGGAAGAGAGGAAAGTGGCGGGGC